CCCCAAAACCCCAAAACCCCAAAACCCCAAAACCCCTTAACACATTTTCTTGATTGAAACCATACTGTGAATAAATATTTCAATATTTATAAAACTCTACCTTACCACTAAAACTACTCAATTTCCTTTAACTCCTTCAAATACTCTCTAATCTCCTCTTCCGCATCATACTCTCCCTTCTCCAAAATCCTCTCAACACTCTCTACAAACCTATCCCTCTTAAAATAGCTCAAACTGCCATCTCTCCTCTTATGTGGCTTATAAAACCCATTAATCCCAAAAACACTCACTATCTCTCTCAGTTGTTCCTCACTGACCACCCCACTCCCTTGTCCCACGACCTTCGCTATCTCCTGAACTCCATACACAAAAGTGAGACTTCCTGCTTGGGCGCCAGTTGGCTCGCCAACTGGCGCACAGGAATAGGCACTTGTGCAGAAGGAAGTTAGTAGCTGGTTAAAGTCAGTCTGAGATAAGGGGCTTATGGTGGAGATTTTGAGAAGCTGTAGGTGAGGCAGGGGCTTACACGGGAGATGAGGAGGAGGAGAGTGGCTGGGGTTATAAGTGGGAAAATTGGTGTGGGTTGAAGGGAGTTGTGGAGTGGTGGAGGAGACGGAGGAAGTCTGAGAGGTCTTTTGGGCGAAGGAGGTCTTGTTGGGTCAAGTGGTGTATCGTGGAGATTGTTTCTCATAAGCTGAGAATCCAGGCTGTTCCACCAGTCGTGTAATTCCATTTGTTTAGTATTTCAAAGATTATGGAAAGTGATTCTTGTCTCTCAAACAAGTTTTGGTTGGGAATAGCAGATCTGAGATATTTTGGTAGTTGTTTTAGTATAGCATCTTTAGGGATTGCTGATGTGGTAGCAGGAGAACAAGGACGATTTATTGTAAGTGAGTTTGAAAGTGCTCGCAGATCTTTTAGAGTGGGTTTTGTGGGTTCAGAAGCATTTTTTGATCTTTGGACTTTTGGAGAGGTTGAAAATTGTTTTGATGAGTTGAGTTTGATGAGGCTAGGATAGAGTGGAAATTTGAAGTGTCAAGTTGGACAAAAGAATCTGGTGAGTCTTTTTAATGGAAATTTAATGTTGTGCATCTTTGGTTCTTAAAATTTATAATTTGCTGGTCTAGGGGTTTTGGGGTTTTGGGGTTTTGGGGTTTTGGGG